TAACTTCTTGTGAGTGCATATTTTGAACTTGGGAGCTGAAACTAAATTGTAGGAAATTGCATCCTCTTCAAAATCAGCTTTGGATGGGTTATTTCTCATGAAGTATGAGAAAGTTATGCTTGGTCAAAGTTGAGTTGACTTTTCCTACAAAACCCTAATTTAGCAACTTTTGGTTCTTGATGAATTGTGAGCAATCCTTGATGAATCATGATCCACCCTTGATAAAATGATGAATAATACTTCAAAATGAGGATGTTGACCAAAAATATTGAGGTTTGACTGTATGTGGGCCACAGTTGACTTTTGCCCGAGCATAGTCGATTTTCAGGCCTTTGAGTAGTTGACTGAGCAAACTTCCTCTGCAAGGCTTGAAACTTGACAAGGATGATCTTGAGAACATATTAGGGCAATGATGAGGATTTGGGATCCCTTGGGCTCAAATATCTTGATGCAACATGGAACCCTAATTTGGGGTAGACTGCCTTAGGAGAGAGCTTGTCTGGTCAACCTTTGGACTTCTTTGAGTAACTTGAGGATCTTTCTTGAAATGTATTGAGAAATATGGGAGGGAAAATTTTGGGGTACAACACCAGCCATCTTCGAAGCGGTTGATTCACTTGCTCTGGAAACACGATCTCTGACGTGAAGTTCTTGAAAACACGATCAAAAACAATAACCAGAAGCTCTGGATATCAATTTGTTGGTGCATGAGACACTTTTAGTAAGGAGAGAACAGAGAATAAGGAAATAAGAATTATATCATTCACTTGAATTGTTACAAATAATGATACAAACTATGATTATTTGTATACACCTAACTGAACTTGGGCTTTCTATCTTGAATTATATTTGATATTATATTTAATATCTCAACATATCTAATTTAGATTATATTTGATATTATATTTAATATCTCAACATATCTAACTTGAATTATATTTGATATTATACATAATATCTTAACATATCTAACTTAAATTATATTTGATAATATATCTAATATCTTAACATATACTAAATGAAAATTCAAAAAAGAAAAATCAAGAAAACTAAAAAAAAAAAAACATGCAATACAACTGGTTTATGCAAGAATTTGCGTTCATGAAAAGAGAAAAGAAAAACCTTGCACAAGATTTAATATAATCCAAACTTGTAATGTACTTAAACACATACTTTGATCCTTACCTGAGTTATCTGAGTTATACAAACCAACATCAATCTCATTCTTCTCACCACTTTATCACGTCACCTTCTTCTCTAAATGCCTAACACAAACAATTTATTTTTCCTTATTTTCTTATATAGTCGCCACATAATTTCCTAATGCACTTTACTCATGGTAACGTGTGGTTAAATTGACCTAACCTATACTAACATTAATATATAATAATTATATAATTATAATATATTGTGTCATATTTATGACGTACGTGTTTAATGCTGCTACTTTTTTTCCTATATAATCCCTTTTTCGCATCATGGATTAACTGAAATAGATGGGGAGAGTGAAGCTTCAGATCAAAAAGATTGAGAACACAACAAATAGACAAGTCACATTCTCGAAGAGGAGAAATGGTTTAATGAAGAAAGCTTATGAACTTTCTGTTCTCTGTGATGTTGATGTGGCTCTCATCATGTTTTCTCCTTCTGGTAGAGCCACTCTCTTTTCTGGCAATAGAAGGTATTTCTTCTTTTTCTTTTCTTATCTTGTTTATTGCTTAAAAAATAATATGAAAACCTAAATTTTTAATGTATGTTTTCCAGCGTGGAAGAAATTCTTGATCGATATATAAATCTTCCTGATAGTGAACGTGGAAGGTAAGTAAGATTGGCTTGTTTTGTTCATGCTTACAGTGTTTTATAGTTGATATTTTGTATTTTATAATAATGTTGGTGCTATTTTTGATTTGTGACAACTTTTGTTATGGTGCAACTACGAAGGACGCATAATAATGAGGTGAGTTGCTTATTCTCTTAGCCTTTGTTACATCATATGTTAATGTTTTAATTCGACGTGAACATAAATTTTTAAATATTGGTTTGTAATTAAAAAACTTGATTGTTTGTGCAGCATATTCGAAAGGTTCTTCATAGGTTGAAAGCCGAAACCGAACAAATATATCCAGCTCCTGGGTATTCCTATAGCTCTTTTCTATTAATGGTTGGTTAGTATTTGGTATACGCTTTTTGTTTCTGAAACAATTTAATCATGTTGCGTTGCAGCGCGATGATTGCAGACACAAAACTCAAGGTATTTGTTAATAAGCATTGTATATTATAAAAATGATGTTATATGTGTGATAGACTAATGATAAATCTATGTTAACTTCAGGAGGTTCAAAGGGAAATTTTTGTTTGCAGATCTCAATTGGAAGAGATGATGAATCGACTAAGGTTTCATTGCCTTGATAATTTTATTTACTAGATTCTGAGATGTTCTTGAGGAATAAACCATGTTCATTGTTCATCACTGTTTTATGGTATAATTTTTAGGATATTCGAAGGAAATCCTTCTGAGATTACCACATTAAGTGAGGCCGAATATCGTGAACAAGTCCTTCAAGAAACTTTAAAACAAGTACAAATGCGAAAAGTAAGTTCTATAGTAGCTAAAGATAAGCTTCTGCTTCTGCTGTTATTTTCGTATACTTGGAAATTTAAGGAGTTAATTAGAAATGTGAATGTGTATGATGTTTTTATTAAGATTGAAAAGCAACTTTAAATTTTTTTTCTTCAACAGCGTTTTTTGGAGGAAGAACAAATTTCTCATGCATCTCAGCAGGTATATAATATGATTAAACTGCCTTGTCTAACATGCCCTAGTCTCTTCATTCAAATGTGCTATGTAAAAATATCACCATGCAACATGAAACTATAAATTATTTATTATGGTTAGGTACATCTTACAAAAACTGTAGATGTCAGTGGATCTTCTGCTGGAACTACAGAGAATGCGTTAGACTGGTTTTCAGGAGATACTATTACCAATGACCAGATTTTGAACTTTGTGAATGGTTATGACCCTCCTCCTCCTCTCAGGTACTTTGTTTTGCCATTGATTCAGTTGTCCATTCCAATTGAATTTGTATCGAATTGTTTATTGCTCTTATTTCTGCCATCAGTGATCAACAATCACTAAATACTGTTGTCGATATGGTGACACCGACTTCAACCCTTCTGCATGCTGCAAACATGAATCGTGACTATCAAATTAGTCTCAAGGATGGTGCAGAGGCTGCTGATATTAATAATACACCAAGTCCTGAATTTGGACAAGTTATGGACACCAGTTTGGCTTATTGGGCAAACGTTTATCATACAGGATCGTTGTCAGTTGCAGAAACAAGAGAAGAAGAACTACTTGAACAGAATTTGCTCAATTTTCTCCCTCAAATATTTTAATGAGTCGTCATGATCAACTTCAAACATGATTTATGGTCTCTTTGTACATGTTTATTGGAAAACTAGAAAGTTGAAATGCATTTGCACTTTCACAGCTAGCAGCTGAAAATAAAATCATTTAGATGTGTTGGTATCTATGTTTATGACTTATCAATTTAAAACTAAATTAATGAACAGTTGTCAAGTGTGGTTTTCTATTAAGTTTTTAAAAAACATCTTGTGGGAAAATTCTTTTACATAAGGAAAGTTGATTCATATCATTAATAACATTGCAAATGTTATATTAATAATATACTAAATTTAAATTTTAAGTTAATAATAAATTTAGTCATGTAATTGCTATTAGGGTTAGCAAACGGGCATATCCATCCCATTTAGGTCTACTCCGCAAAAGTTTGCAAAAAAAAAAAAAGTGGTTAGATGGAGTCAATATATTAGAGAGTGTGAATCTAAAATTTTGACACCTCCCACACAAAATAAGGCCGAGTCAAGCGTAGCCGATGGGTCCTACATCCCTAAAGTCTAAAAGTTACAAATTTCAGTCAATGCGCACACACGCAAAAGCTGACAAAAATCAGGATAGAGCAGTGCAGGCATAGTAGAGAGTGCAGGACTAAAACATTGAGTCATCACACAAAAAAAGTGCAAGCAAAACAGACCATATCCAATGGGTCTTGCCCATTTTATCACCCCTACTTTTACAATGGTGCAACTTATGAGCAACTGCATGATCTTTGTTTCTAGTAAAATCTATCAAGAGTTGCACTCAAAAAAACACATCAATAATAAAGTACACTAAAATTATTATCAAAAAAGAAGCTGGCAATTAGCTCACATAAACTGCTTAGTGCAGGTTGAATAGCATTTACATTTACATTTAAATTATCTTCAGAAAAGAAGCCAACAATTAGCTCATATAAACTGCTTAGATCAGGTTCAATAACACAAGTAACACTGAAATTATCAACATTGAGAAACATTTACATTTTCATGATGAAGGAAAGACGCCAATGTAATGACATTAAAAGTCAGCACAAAGACAAACCACCCTTGCTATTTCTAAAGTGGAAATTTACAATGAAAACTGCAACTTGAATTAGAGCTACTACATATTCAATGCCTAACTAGGCTAAGTATAGATGTCTTAACCACAACTTAATAGCCAATTAAACTAACTTCCATATACCATATAACCTCCACAAATTTGATATTCAGCATCAAAATTACTTCTTAAAGTCATATTCAAGCCCCCTGCCAATGTAGCATACTTCTTGCATAAAATACAGCCAAATCCATCAGAAAGTTGAACCACTTCAAAAAATTAACCAAGTTTCATCTAATTACTTCACTCAACTTCAAACAGAGAACTTGGTAAAAGAGGAGGTGAAGGCAGGTTTGCCACGTGTTTAAACTGTTGCATCATACAGATATCATGTCATTAAACTAGTCAAGATAATTTAATAAAGTCTACGGAGTGTGATTAAAAAATAATCACCTTATGCTGCTTGTATTTCTCTCGAGAAGCATCAAATGAAGCTTCCCTTCTAGCCATATACAAATCATGTAAGATGAGAACGCATTCTTTCAACTCATCTGGTTTATATCTCGAATATTCTTGCAGGGCTAATGTCTGCAACAGACCAAAGAATAAACTTCATAAATGCATTGAATTGTAGATGTTTATTGGCAATACTAATTCTTTTGCATAAGAACTAATTTATTAGCTATTTAATCAAATACTTTCCCAAGGAGAAGCTTTAGGCCAAACAATGAATCGAGCAAGCAGTGTGGCAGACGCAGCCACCAAAGAAGGTAAGAACCTCAAACAAACACAATCCAATAAACTTAGCTCAGCAAGATAGTTACTTAAGAACTCAAACTGCAAACTTGAAGCCTGAGAAAAATAAGGAAAAAAACAAACTTCTATCAGAATACTTAACATTTTTGAAATGTCAAAAAACATAGATATGAAAAAGCAAACTCACATTTATTTTCTCACATGCAATTTCATTAAACCTCCTGTACCACATAAACTTCACATAATTAGTCTATTGTCTTTTCAAATTTCTTTACATAATTAACATTTGCAAAACAGAATAACAAACAGATTTGGCACTCTCTTGCCTTAGAAAAGTCTTAACAGTGGGATTGGCTGTATCAAACTCTAAGGTTTTGAGTATGTCAGTCTCCATCTCTAAAACCTGCAAGCACCAAAAAAACAAGAGTAGCAAAGTGAGTGAGCATTGACACGATTACAAACAAATTTAGATCTTTATTTGGTAAATCAAAGTATAATCACACACAACTATAAAAATACTAATCCCTCGAACCAAGCACGGAAAGGTATACATATTTACCATTTGTGTCTCACCATATTGGTAATTTCACTATTTTGCGACAAACTAAGCACGGAAAGGTATACATATTTACCTCATCTTTGTTATAAGAATTGTCAGTTATAAAACAGAACTCTTCCACATAAGGCGGGCTTATTTCTTCATGTTTCCTATATAAATAAAAAAACCAATCACAATGCTGAAAACAAGATAAATCATTGGGCAAAATTCAAAGAACATTACTCAGACTCACGACGCAATGAGCATGGACGAAACACCCAACAACTGAAGCTTGGTCCTATTGATATTATTAAAAGACAGAAACCTATCTATGTAGGAAACAGCAAGATGAAGTGTATCAGGAACAAGCTTGTACTCTTCCGCAACCTCAACTAACCAATCAATCAAAATCCCTCTCATATGTGGAGTAATATCTCTCTGAACAATAACCATGTAATCCATCATGGGTCTTCTCTTTTTCTCCATCTGAGAAGAAAAAAAAAACAAGTAGAATCTCCCTCCGTCATTTTAACAAACACAAGAAAGACACAATGTTTAAACAGTGAAAAAAGGCCCAGAACAACATAGACCGAAACAAATATGTTACCTCCATTGAGCGAAGATGCATGTAGACCGATGAAACAAATGGGCCATCGAGATCTTCACTAGGGTTCTTGTTCTTCTTCCCCGGGGTTGGTTTTCTCGGGTTAAGGTTTTTTTGAGGAAGAATGAGATTGGTTGAATTGGGAAGTTGTCCTAACACGACACGTTTCTTCTTGATGGGTTGATTCTGGTGATTGGATTTTCTCTTTGAAGAGCGTGTTTCGATCATCTTGTTCTTGTTCTGAGAAACGGAGAAGAAAGAAGAGGCTTTGCTGTGTGCATAGAAAAGCTCTTGAATCTTCAAATTTTGTGTTCGAGCCAAAAATGAAAATGAAATGTTTTTGAATTTTAAGTTGGTGATGTGGTTGAACGTTTGGTGGTTTTCATTTTAAATTCAAATTCGGAGAAATTACTAAATTTGCAGTTTCGTATGGCGGGATGGCGCTCTTTCTCTTCCACCAAAATACCACATTCATGTGCCAAATTATTTCTTTTTTCAATTTTATAACAATTTTTTACTTGGAACTTTTTGTTACTATCATCATCCGTCTATTATAAATCTCTCATTCTAAAGGATCTGAAGTAGTATTTTTATATTTATTTTCTATTATTTTTGAAATTGAATTCAACATGTGTTAATGATGTAATGTGTTTTATTGACTTTAGTATGAACTGTCTAAACAGGGGAAATATTATCAATGGTAGCCTACGGGTCTAAGTTCCTAAACTACTACAATAGGTCAGTAATTTTGGAACAATATTTATTGCTCTCACACATGCAATGATCAATGATTCCAAGATCATTTAATTTTCTTATTAGAGTTTGACCTCATAATTTGATGCGCCTTTTGATTTTTATACCGATAGCAGTAATTTAAGAAACTTTTTATTTGTCAAATAAAACAGATACGGAGTTGAGATGTATGTCAGCAATGGTGATGCAGAGTATTTATTTGTTTTTTGGAATAATGATTGTGCTTCTATTATAGGCAAGACATCCAAAGACTTGTGTAAGATAATGTTGAGGTAACATTTTCTTGAACATTTAACCATTATTTGTTGATAGTTGTTACATATTGAATGTAATTTTAGAGTTTAATCACCATATTTGTTATATATATATATATATATATATATATATATATATATATATATATATATATATATATATATATATATATATATATATATATATATATATATATATATATATATATATATATATATATATATATATATATATATATATATATATATATATATATATATATATATATATATATATATATATATATATATATATATATATATATATATATATATATATATATATATATATATATATATATATATATATATATATGCTATTATTTTGAAAGGAGAAGATGATCCTATAGTTTATTATGATGACCTTGATAGTTGAATAAGAAAACTCTATATAGATTATGATGACCTTGATACTTGAATATTGATGAGGTATGACAGAATAATAATTCAATTTATGATTTGATTTATAATACATAATATATTCATTTTAATTATTTAACTTTTATAATATTTTCAGAATAATTCTCAACTAAACATTTCAAAAGTTGTTACATGTTAAGAAAATATAACTGTAAGTTAATAACTTCAATAACTTTGCACTAACATTAATATTGTATTATAGATTTAATTTGTGCAATAATTTTTGTTTACATGAGGAGAAAATGCTCGGGCCTTCTGACTATAGAGACGGAGCAACTGCATCGTCATCATCGATACCTCTATAACTCGAAGACGATCGGCCACCTCCCCAGAACTACCAACCCATTCAGTTTCATGAGGTCCCCGTTTTCGCCGGAGCAGACGCCACGACCAGGACACTGTTTGCGGCGATAAATCAGACTAACTACCTGATCTTTTCTCAAGGAGAGAGATTGAGGGCTCTCGAAGATGCTCGGAGAGCCCCCAGAAGACACAGGAGGCCCCAGTCTCCTCCTCATCGCCAAGTAGAGGAACGTCCCCGATCTCCTCCGCGGAGACGTAGTCGGGACGTCTCTCGAAGTCCTTCTCCCCGACCAATCGGGTGACGCCCCACATTAGAAAGGGACCAGCCCATTGACACGGGGAGACGCGATCACATCCCCTCGCGTCAAGATCAAAGACCCCCTGGAGACAGGAACGGGGGAAACAACGAACGACCACACCGCCTGAGAAACGCTCCGCGCGACCAGGGCCACCATAGCCGCTACTACATCAGATCCCCTTTTCGCTCGCCCGACAGGCGTAACAAAGACGACCCCCGCGGTCCCTTGTCACAAGCCATTATGGAGGAATCCCCCGGGCATGGAGAAGCCTCCCCACCTGAAGGAATATGACGGCATCGCCGACCCGGTCGACCATATAGACGGTGTAATACGGTGGGAGAACTAACTTGGTTGTTTTGCATTTGATCGCAATTATTGCGGTTAGCAAAAGTCGCCACCGACTTTTCTTTTATCCAAAAAGGAAAGGGTGAAAAGAACAGGAAAGACCTTTGAGACATTTTCCTGAGTTCGGGGGGGGGGGGGGGGGGTAGATTATGAAAAGGGAAAGTGTTAGTACCCTTTTTATCCATAGTTATCTATGGGCTCTTAGTTGCTTGCTAGATCACTTGTTTTGTTTGAAAATGCGCTATGTGGTGGTTTTTGAAAGTATTTTTGAAAAGGCGTCTTCGTTTAGGCAAACTTTGTAATGGTTCATGTTTTGTAAGAACGTATACAAAGTGTTGGACTTTTGAAAATATTTCATGTTTTGAAAGTGTTTGGTGTATGTTTGCAAGGATGTTTGTTTTGAAAATGAGCAAGCAACTAAGAACGTTTCCACCTACTCAAAAAGTCTTTTGTTCATTTCCCTCTTCCTTTGATATTGCTATCTTACCATTGATTGGTAAGAAGCCTTGTCTTTGGATGTAAAGGGACGGGCGTGGGTCATCGTATAGTCATGATAGCAATGTTGTAAGATGTCTTAGCATTTCTCTTTGAGGGACTAAGATCATTTGAAAGGCAACATTTTTAGCGTCATCGAGGGACTATGATCTTGTATTTTTTATTGTTTTTTGCTAAGACATCCCACATGCGTAACATGACCATTTTTTAGGCAACAAGTGGAGTTAACCTTAGGGGTTCATGTGTGAATAGTGTATTTATTTTTTTCATGCTTGATTTATCTTGAATTAGGGTTCTCTAAGCATTGATTTTATTTTTCCATACAAACCCTAATTTACTAGCATTGATATGAAAACGATAAATTGCGGAAAGTAAATTTACTACGTTATTACATCATTTGGGGATGGGGTATACAAATTTACAAATGGGGATTGTAAGAAATTAAACCTAATTATCTATTACAACCATATTGAAACTTGAATAATGTACAAGAATTGAAAGGAATATAATGTACAAGGATATAAATGGAAAAGAAATAAATTTTTGTTTGGTTTTGTTAAGGAGAATGGTTTTAACCTAATTATCTAAAAGAAAATAATTAATTAAAATAAGTAAAATTAAACCCTAATTTAAAAGAAATAACATTAATCAAGAAAGCATTTTTAGGGTTTTTTAGAAAAGGTTTTAAGTTTAATCAAAATAGTATGGAAATTAATTAATTAAAAGAAAACCTAAATTCTAAGTTAATTTTAATTAAAAAGAAAATAACTAAATCTAAATCTAATTATTAATTTATTTAAGCAAATATTTAAATTTATTTAACAAAAAGTATTTTTGTCTTTTTTAGTTTAGAAAAAGAAATAAAATAAAACTATAGGTATATTATAAATAAATAAATAAAGTATTTTTTTGAATTTTTATTAATAAAAATAGTAATAATAATAATAATAGTAAATAATAAAAATAATAAAGAAAAATAAAATAAAATAAAATAAAATATAAAAATAAAAGTCAGGGGGGTGTGAAAATGACTTGGATGGTTTAAAAGTAAAAACAGTTTTTAGTCTGGCCCATTATTGTTTTTTGTAAGTCAGAAAGAATAAAAAAATAAATGGACTAGAGGTTGTGTTAGTGAAACAGGGGGGTTAAAGACAAAAATGACAATGCCCAGTTGATTCAGGGTCCAAGCGTGCATGGTTCAAACAAAAAAGATGGGAAAATGTTGGAAAATATGCAAAATGGCAACGCTGGGGCTTGAACCCATGACCTTGACCATAAACGTGCGCTGCCTTACCACTGGGGTGGCTATACATCTGTTAACTTAAACAAAACCATAAATATATATTACAAATCCATTCCTAGAAATAAACTTCATCTTCAACCTCGAGCCAGGGTCCCTGTATCTCATTCATTTCTCATCCATTCTCAAAGCTTCCAACATCAAACTTGTTAGAAATTTTACCAGGATTTCAGACATGTCAACAATTTGGACTAACAATCAAAGATGAGCATGTATTTTTAAAAGTACCAAATCCTTACCTAATTTTTTCAAAGATTCAAACTTAAAATTCTCTAAGTTCGGGCAAAATAAATGAAAACTATGGATATGTACAGCTTCAGGGCAATGATATCTACATTTTGTCTTTGAAAATGAAAGCCTAATAATGCCTAAATGAAGAGATGAAAGTTCAGAAAAATATCTCAACAACTGAAAATCGTGAAATGAGTTTGAGCTTGTTTCAAGTGATGGTGATGATCAGGTTAACTTTCTTAGACCTCTAGGAAACTAATGCAATGCTTAGCTTGAGCTATGGATGGCTGGAATGGTCTGGAGAAGTCAAGTTGCAGACCTCTGTTTATGGTTATGGAGGATGGTGATGGAGATGTTACAGCTCCAAAACAAGGACATGAATGGACTATATTTGAGGTATAGAAGCTTTGCAAATGATTTTGAGGGGAAATGCACGAGGGAAATGAAAGATACAATTTCAAGGGCAGAACTGTGTATCAATGATGTTTTTTGAGCAATTTCTGGTTTGTGAGTGTTTGAGGAAGTTTCAAGGCTTTAGCATTAGTGTGTTTACTTGCCAAAGACTAGTATATTTGTATGGCAAAGGTTAGAGATGTTTTGCACAAGGGATTTCTGAGTTGTAGGGTTATGGCTAGGTTGCTTTGTTTTGAAGTAAAGTGGAAAACCAAAATCACAATGCATGGTACAAGCTATGTAGAGTGCTTGAATTACTTTAAACATGCCTCTTCTGAGTTTCTAGGTTGAGTGTGTGCAGAAGAATCCATTGAGAGGCTCAAGAAGGGTTGACAT